TTTGCAACTTCAGGGATCTTATCTATGCACAATCAGCTTGTAACACTCCAAAGAGAAAGGAAAACTTGAAATCGCATCATATGACCCCTTTAAGAAATTACATTTTATTATGTAAACACAAACTTTTATTTTGAGGAATGATTAATCACGATTAATTGATTTGACAGCACTAAAACAAAATTCTAAACTATTATTAAAAATGTTATTAATATAATGATACAATAAAATTAAGAGATTAGGTAAATTTTTATTCCATCACTTTTAAATAATTATACACATTAAATTTACAGCTCTAGTTGCAGCATCTGTCAGTATATTCCCGCAGGATTTGGGTTGAGAAGCCCAGAGCTGAAGGTGAAAGAGACACAACTCAGAGGTGAGCTTGTGCAGAGCGCAGGCTTGCAACTCACCTGGGTGGCTTTCCTCTTAGCCTTGTGCTGTCCAATGCTGGAGGCCGTCACTGAAACAGGCTGCGAACACACACACATACACACAGTCAACCTCACGGATAACAAACCCGGACGCATCAGCTCAAGAGATTTGTGCATTCCCAGACTGGGGCTGAGAGCGAACAAAATCAATTATCCCAGACAGAGAAACACATCTATCATTGACATCCCGTTAGTGTCGCTATTACTATTGAAAGTATCCAATCAGGAGGGATTAGAACATGGCATGGGACATCCTCAGTTTGTATGGACGTACCTAACCTGCAGTGCATTTGAATGAAGGCCAGAAAAATCATTAAGTCATATGAAACAACAGCCCTGCTCGCCGGTGCACAAGATGCGATGCAGCCTTGAGGTTGACACAGACAGCTTCAGGAAGAGCTAATACTCTTAAATCACACAGAACCTTAATAAGGACGCTGCTGGAGGCTGGTATGCTGCTCTCTGACCACAATTTTGTGAGGTCTCTAGTAATGCATGTTTCCAACTCACTTTTCAGCTGCACTTCCTATTTTTAACTGCTTTTTATTATTTAAACATTACGTTATTAGCCAACGATTTTGTTAATGGATAATAAACAAATTTTATGAATAAAGTCATTTGAGTACATATGTAAAATGAATGTACATTTTATGTATTACGTATACATATTTACATGTATTATTTATACACTAATAGAATTTTATGACAAAATGTAAATATTACTATTAAGGTTTAAAAATTTATCAAAGACTTGATACATCAATCGATACAAATTTTTGTTGAATAAACAATATTTTTGTGAATTTTTAAGTAGTCTGAGTAAATATTATATGTATATTTATAATTATTAAATATTATAATGATAATCTATTACAATAATCTAAATGTTTAAAAACATTACAATGTTAAATGTATGTCCATTGTACAATATTACATATATATATACACATCATAAATATAATATAAATTTTTGTTTAATAAACAATATTTTTGTGTATTTAAGTGATTTGAGTAAATGTTATATGTATGTAAATATGAGTATATATACATGATTTGTATATTACATAAATACACATACACAGTTATAATTATTAAATATTATAATGATAATTTATTACAATAATCTAAATGTTTGATAATATTACAATGTTAAATGTATATATTGTGTATATATATATATATATATATATTGTGTATATATATATATATATATATATATATATACATATATATATATATATATAT